TGGGACCTCCACAACCAGTACGTAAAAACGAACTGCTAGGTCTCAGCAGGCAAAAAATAAGGAGGATAGTGGCCTTTTTAACAGGACACGCCCCCTGCAAAAAACACCTCTTCAGGATGGGACTGAGCGATCAACGGACCTGCAGGGGTTGCGAATTAGAGGACGAAACTAACTGCATGTTATGTGTCACTGCACGTCATATGCAACAGGTAGAGGAAGACTCCTGGGAGGGGATGAAATTCCACCACACCAGATCATGCGAACTCCCCTCAAGACTCTTCTGGAATTCATTGAATATACAGGGATAATGAGGGAGTAAAAGTACGAGGGCACAATAGGACAGAAATGACCGCGGTGCGAGGCCAAACACCACCTCGGCGGTGAGGAAAGGGTTTTAGTGGGTAAACAGCTTAGCTGGAGCCCCACACATACCAGAGCGACAGACCACCAGCTCTGGGAGTGCATAAAAGAGCATTTCCCAAACCTCACCGGAAAAAAAAACGAGGAAAAGACAAAATGTAGGTGCATAAACAGACAGGGGTGCAGAGCTAGAATAGGACAGAAGTAACAATAGACACTTATAATTTTGAATTAGTGGAGCGTTTCACATATCTAGGAGCTACAATTGCAGCCGATAACTATGTCACAGAGAAAATAAAAGATATAATTCAAGGCGCAAATCGATGTCTGTTTTAACTTTCTCTCTAACTCTCAACTAAAACTCTCTAAACAACTTTTTCAAGTCCAAAGCATCTCAAGAACCTCAAAGGTGAGAGTCTATAACAGCATTATAAGACCAATAATCTCTTATGGATGCGAGGCAAACAATAACTAAGGCTAATGAAGAAAAACTTAGGCGTTTCGAAAGAAAAATGTTTGGTCCCCACCACGACCCTAATTGCAACCAGTATCGCATCAGGTCAAATAAATTAAGTCCTAGCGCCTAAGATGCCCGTAGCATGTCGATAGACTACGAGATGTTAGACTGACGGGACTGGTATGGGGGGAGAGACCGTCGAGAAAAAGGCCACGCCAGAGGTAGAAAGACAACATCAAAGCAGATCTCACAAAAATGAGTACCCCCCTGGACACGAACCTTTTGGAGATCCGGGAGGCTTGGAGGAGCGTAGGGCAGTCAGCCAAGACCCACCATGGGTTGTAGTGCTAACTTGTATTGTATTGTAATGTTAACAAATGACAAAAATAGTTTTAAAATTTATTTGCGATTTCAATATACAACGGAAACTTGCTTATCTTTAGGTATTGGATACGTTATCGATCAAACAATATAAGTATTGGGCATGTACAAAGATTGTATTTGAAAAATAAGGAAAATCCAATATTCACGAAAAGAAACTCTATACCATAATTTTCACATGGTGATTCTGTCACAATTTAAGTCAAAGTATATACACAATTAAATAATTTACCTTAAACTTAATATTACTTCTGAGGTAACGAGCTTGACGACGTAACCTTTTTGCTATGTTTCACTTTTTTTACGTAGGCCTCAACCAGCTGCCTAATTTTGTGGGGGTTTATTTCTCCAGATTTATTGTGACATATCTGCAAAAAAATACACAAAAAATAATAAAGCGGGAGCTATGATAATTATGAATTAAAAATTACATTTGCCTTCAAATTTCATTTAAATGTTACATGTATATTTCCAGAGGGTGATTTAGTTCTCAACTGTCTTTTTTAAATGTAAAATTATCAGTAACTATTTTACAAACGGCTTTATATTAATAACTTATATTTTGTGACCAACGCCTAGTTTGCATACTGTTTCATTTGCACATCTTTATAAATATCGAATGATAAAAATATATTTTTCTTATTGCAAATCCAATCATGGGATTACGTTGCACATGAATATGCAGGTGAAAATTCGACAAACTTACTTTTGGGACAGCTCGTCTCATGATGTCTTTATACTCGTCCTTAGTGATTTTTTTCTTATTGTAGAACGGCTTCAAAACGAGTTTCACTTCTTCCACAACACGTTCTTGCCTGTTCAGCTTTTTAAGGAACTGAAAGATTACAATGATCGTATAAGCTTGTTTATATGCTTTACAATTCGACATCAAAATGCAAAAAAAAATTGAAGAACTGAAATGAAATGATTTTTGCGGCATCTAACTAATGTCATTTGGGGTGTATTTAGTAAAAGATATAAATATCCATCAACTGGAAGTCGAACAAAAATTAATGGCATCATCAAAGAGAACACATACATCGGTTAACACCAAACTTACGTACATAAAGCGAAGTTTTAAGAGAAATACGAGCATCGATAGCGAGCTCGATCCTGACAAGTTCAAGTTCAAACTGTACTAGGGTAAAGACATCAGCATTAAACATTTACATCAACAAAAGAACTGAAAAGATCGGAACAGGAAAATGAGTCGAATTCAACAGAAATCATATTTCCCGGTGGTAGAGCAACAGCATGAGATCGATAAATGATCACATAAAAAAATTATCAATAGGAAAAGTCTAGGAGCCGGAGGAAGTTCTGTAGTTGTTTTGGTAAGAACAACTACTGAAAAACAGCCCAAGAAATTTAAGGCAAATATTAACCCACTTAATGACACGGGATATAAATAACCACAATTAACAAAATAATGAAAAAACTAAATCGGACGGAAGTCAAAAACTCTAATGTATAAAAGTGGTTCAAAGAGAGCGGTTGCAGAGCACTCAGTATATTATAATACGGTAAAGTATAAACATTATGAACTGTTTCTCCTTCTGAACAAGCTGGGTTTAGAGCTGGACTATCCGTCATCGATATATTCGTAATGATACAAGCCCTAGATAATGAAATCGCTACTCACCATAACAAATTATGTGTATACATTATTTTAAATCTTACCAAGGCATACGATACCGTACTTCTGAAAAATATGGAAAGTTTTAGATGGACGAACCCTTTTAAACGCCACCCAAGAGCTATACAAAAATGTAACGTACAAACCCGATTAAGATCTTAAACCGAAACGTTTGAAGTACTGAACGAACTAAATTGTCATGGTCCAAGATCTGCAGAACTTAACAGAAAATAAGTAACTCGTTAGTTATTTGATGAATACGATGAGACTTCAATCATCCAAGGCAACCAAGCCAAAACAACAAATATCAGTTTTTGAGAACAGAAAGAACTAAAATAGATAACGTCAGATGCAAATGCGAAATATGCAAGAAAAGAAAGTTACTTACGAATAGAAAAGAACCACATACAACACCGTTATAAAGACACACCTTATAGGACTCATATACAGGGTGGCCATTTTCTGACTCTTTGTATGGGTAACTTCTACATTTTTAAAGATAAAGAATCCGTTAAATGGGCAAAATCGGGCAGAACTCTATTCCTTACCGTTTTCAATCAATTTTCAATCATTACCGTTTTCAAAATTTAGGTACCCGACTTGGTTCCTGAAATATCCTGAAAAGACAAGAAATCATCACTTTTTTAATTATCATTTATTACGTAAGTAAGTTAAAACTGCCCTTAGTACAACTTTTTGCGTTGAATCCAATAAACTAGCATTCCTTATCATAGTCAACTTGATTTACGAGATAAAAAATAAACTTATGGTTTTTTAAATGGTAATCATAGTTGGCTGTGGGCCTTTTAAAATCCTTATTTTTTTCTGAATTTAACAATATAATTGTTTGTATGTTTTTCTCCTTTTGTTTCCGTAAAACTTCAAAAGAAGATAAAAACTGTGTAGTAGGCTACGGAAACAAGAACTGTATTATTACACAAAGCACAAAACAATAATGAATCGTTTAAATTAAATGTTCAAATTGACTCGTTTACGTCGAGGCATTTTTTGGCATCTTCACATTCAACTCGTGAGTTGGGTGAAGGTGCACTATCATGCTGAAAATATGCCAATTTTCGATACGATGCTAACGGAAAACTATTCAACATGACTTCAAGTTCATTTGGTAAAAAATGTAAATATCTTTCAATTTTAAATTGTGATTATAAAAGAATAGACCAATAATTTTATCACTAAAAATGCCTCACCATACATTCACAAAAAAAAACACGTTGATCTCGCCTTTTTTCAATTAGATGACGATTTTCATTAGCCCAGTAAACATGATTGTATCTGTTAATTATTTCATTTTTGTTTTGTGCTTTGTGTGATAATATAGTTCTTGTTTCCATAGCCTATTACACATTTTTTATCTTCTTTTGAAGTTTTGCGCCAACAAAAGGAGAAAAACATACAAACAGTTATATCGTTAAATTCAGAAAAAAATAAGGATTTTAAATGGCCCACAGCCAACTATGATTACCATTTAAAAAAACATAAGCTTGTTTTTTATCTCGTAAATCAAGTTGCCTATGACAACGAGTGCTAGTTTATTGAATTCAACGCAAAAGACAATTTTAACTTTATTTTTAATTTAATCAGTTTACGAATTATATGATAATTAAAAAAGTATTGATTTCTTGCCTTTTCAGCATATTTCAGGAACTAAGTCGGGTACCTAAATTTTGAAAACGGTAATGAATAGGCAATCGAAATTCCAATTTTGCCCATTTAACGGATTCTCTATGTTTAAAAATGTAGAAGTTACCCATACAAAGATTCAGAAAATGGCCACCCTGTATATCTCTTTTAATCCCATACTAACCTTATCTTTCACTTGCATTTCCACTGCAGAGTTGGGTAAGTCCTCCAATATTTTTAAACTGTCTTCATCCACTTTAATACCGACATGTTTGCTCAACGGCTTGGCAGGAACTGGCTTCTTGCTTGCAACCTTCTTGCTCGTCTTTTTGCTATAACTTGGAGAACCAAACAAGTTGTCAAACGTATTTTGAGCTTTTTTGATTGATCGCTTCGGCTTGGCAGACGGTTTGACTTTCGAAGTCGCACTAACGGGCTCAGAGGGCGGCTCAAAGAGATCCTCATAGTCACTGGATCCAGGTGAATATGGAGAATCCATATCCGGATTAGCATCATCCGCAGTATTGCCGTTTTGCTGTTTGGAGCCCTTCTTGTTGTTCGAACCTTTTAACTGCATAGGTTTAATCGGAGTGGATTTAACTGCAGCTTTGGTCGGAAGTATTTTTACTGGACTTGATTTAATTTGGTTTGGCAGTACGATTCTTTGTGGGATAGTGGCAGCTGGCGTTACTGCAGAACTTAACATGCCTATTCTTGAAATAGTAATAGTGCTGGATACAGGGGCTGGGGATATGATTGATGTTTGTATTGAACTGAATGGAACAGTTTGCGCTATTGGCTTGGGAATTGATGGTTGAATCAGCTGATTCAAAGACACCCCGATCCGATCAACTGGCGACTTACCCTCAGTAATGTCTTTATTGCCACTTTGTGAATCTGCAGGCTGAACATCCGGCATAGGCGGTGTTAGCGACTTAATTGCATCAGGAGTTTTCTCAGACTTTTCCAGATCTAAATTTTCCAGGGGGCCTTGAAGCTTTTCCTCTTCGTGGATTTCACATTGAACATTACAAGGTTCAGGAGTAGGCGACCTACTTTTTGTTGGCTCAAAAGGATCATAAGCATCTGGAGAACTGGGCGGCGAAGTAGGAGGTTCTTCAGGAGGAGTATTTGGTCCTTTATGTGAACTATTATTGAGGTCGTCCTGAGCCTCCTCTTCAATGGTCTCCAAAGGATCATGAAGAGGATTGTTTATTGCACGCAGTTGTGGAGCTTTCGGAAGCAAAGCGAATTTAACGCCCGGTTCGGGTGGTGTTTTTGGACCCATCGTATAATTAAGAGTCTCTTCAGGGCTAGCAACTTGTTGAGATGAATCGCAAATATTATTTTGAATATCTCGGACGTCATTTTCATTATTATCACTATCACTAAGAACTATTACATCTTTAGGGGAGGAGACAATTTCTTGAAAGGGAGATCTCTCTAAATCGATAATTGCTACAGGTTTTACTCCTGTCAGATCCTTCTTATTTTTATTTTTCTTTTCCTTAGTTTTCTTTGGCCGTTCTGACGATGCGTCTTTCCTTTTTCTATTTTCACGAGTACTTATATCTCTAGTTTCATTTTCATTATTAAAACTAACACTTACTAAAATGTTATCGCCTGATGCAAATACTTCTTTAGACGGGGGAGGCGTTCGCTCCCTTTCCCTACGTCTCCTTTTGGTTGGAGAGTCATCTTTTCTCCTCCGCTCTCTACCTCGCTTTTCCTTCTTCTTTTTAGCAGTATCATTGTTTACAATTACCGTAAGATTCTGATTACGCAATGCGTTGGAACTATCAGTTTTAGGTGGTGTCCATGATGGAGAAACCACACGTACAGGTGGAGTAAGAGATCTAGATAAAGATGGTGTCCATTCCCTGTGTTCTCGCCTTGGACTAACAGACCGAGACTGCCCTGAATGTACTCGCCTTCGACTGTGACTGCGCCGCTGCCGCTTCTTATTCTTGTCTTTAGATTTCTTTTGTCGGTTGTTTTTGCTGGTAGAAACCTTCCGTTTTTTTGCTTTAGAGCTGTTTCTTTGCCTATCGCGTGACCTACTTCTAGATCGAGCCTTCCTCTTTACAGCTTTATCTTTTGCTTTAGAAAGCGATCGTCGTTTCGACAGTGACCTTCGACTTTTGGGCGGGGTTTTTGTTTTAGACACGGATCGGGACCGTCTTCTAGTTGCTGGACTAGGTGCTCGAATTGGAGATGGAGTCTGTCTGGTTCTCAACGGTGACTTATGCTTTAAAGGAGGTGTATACGATCGGCTTCTCGATCGTGATGAAACTTGGCGCAAATCTCGACCGAATTCATCTTTGGGATGAGGTCTCGGTTTTTCAGCGATTATAGCTCGAACATTGTATCGCTCAAGTTCCTTGCGTTTCTCCTTCTTTTTTCTTGTTTCCTTTTCCCGTTCGGTAAGATCGGGAGTTCTTGTGCGGGAACGAGCCCGCAAAGACTCCTTGGACCTGTCTTTATCTCTATCTCTATAATTTCTTTCCTTGGTGCTTTTGGTCAATTTCTTGAACGTTTCTTTGTGAACATTTTCTTTGTTGGCACTCGCTTCTGTAGATGTACTTTCTTTGACTTTCTCCTTTTTCTTCTTCTTTACGTCTTTCTCACTCTTTTTCTCATTTTTGGCTTTGTCCTTTTTAGGTTTCCGCTCAGGCGCCTCTTTACTATGTTCGACGGCTTTCTCCTTGTTTTTGTCTACAATTTCGCCTTCCTCGAAGTCTTCAGGTCTGGTAAATTCTAGTTCCGACTCTTTGGCATTAATCTCCAAAGCATCTCCATCGGAAATTGTTTTTAATTCATGGGATTCGTCAAAATCGTTCCGATCATCATCAGATATCATTTCTGTATCAAGGCCTTCAAGACCTTCTCTAGATTTATCGACTCGTTCGTCTAATACAGGGGTATAACTTCGATCCTCTTCACTTAAAATGTCTTCTGTCATATCTTTTATGTCCTCTATAGCAAAGGAGTTCTTCTTTTTCACTATGGTTTCATCTTCGGAATCGCTATACAAGCCGCCAAGATTCCACGATTCCGACGAAACTTTTTGAAGTCGCGGATCTGAACCAGTTTTTTCGACTGTAACTCTTTGAGGCGAGTCTGGCAATGATGTTGATTCATCTGTTATTGGATCAACCGCATCCGAAATATAATTTATATTTCCAGTTTGAATTTCACTAGAAGATGGCATGGATATATCTGTGGTTAATGCCACGGATTTACTTTGTCTAGAATAAATACTAAAGTTTGGGCATCCATCATCCGAATCATCATCATCATAATTCCTCTTCTCTAGATTATTAATGGAAGTATCACCAGAAGTTCTTTCAGCCGTTGAACTATTTACCTTATTGATATCGTCAGCAGGCGGAATTGGTATATTATTTAGACTTGAAAATTCTTGTAAATGCGGACCATTTGTATCACCCGATTTTCCGATAGTTATTGCAGTTTCCGGTGGCCCTCCAATAGAGGAAGCGCTTATTTGGGTCTTGCTAAGGACCGCTTGGCTTGGCGCAGGGGGAACAGACGTAGAACTAGTTTCGCCTGAGCTTTTATTCCAAGTCAGCGAAGGCTGATATTGTTTAATGCCTAGTGCAAATTCTTTCTGAAGCTGATCATAACCTGAAGCAATTTCCCTTTGAAGATCATCGTAACCTGAAGCAAGATCTCTCTGAAGTTGTTCATATCCTAAACTGATATTTTGGGAATCCAGTGAGTCCTGAGTAGTTGCTTCCTCTGGACTACCTGTAGGGTTACCCGGACTATAAGTCGGTTGATCCGGAACATGAAGCGGTGGAGCTGGACTATAGGTTGGTTGTCCCGGATTGTAACTTGGACCTGGACTATAGATTGACCGAGTTGGACTAGACGTCGGTTGACCAGGACTATAAGCCAGTGCATGCACAATACCTACAGTAGATGTAACCGAATCATCAAAACCCTTTTCAGTGTCAATGACCATTCCTGATTCAGAGTCATTATCTTCATCGGTGTTAGCGTTGGAAACTTGACTTTGAGTTACTGGAGATGTCGGAGGTCTAAATTCGTCGTCTCTGGTTGTAGTCACGGTTTCACTTTCCATATCTCCATATATGTCAACATCATTGTCACTTACTGGAGTACTGTTTCCAGTAGTTTGCTTTTCTTTTTCTTCTTCTTGCAATATTTCCGCTTCAGTCAATGTTCTACGGGTATAATCTTGGGGTATGTCATTAGGCTGCCCTCGACCATGGAAATAATTACCATTTCCCTGGCCGACATTTCCAGATTGCCCATACCTGCCTTGATAATAGTTGGAATTATTTTGCCAATTTCTGTTGTTGGAAAAATTACGGTTATGGTTGGGTCTGTAGCCTGAATAATTCCGGCCATGCCAAGGAGTTTGTTTAACAGAATAGGAATTAAAATCTGGCTTAGTTGGAATATAACTAGTTAAACCTGGTTCCTTGTTCTTGACTACGATGTTCACTTTTCCTGATGAATCCACCGACATTATTGAGTTTTTTGACAGTAACTCTTCTTGTGATCTCAAAATGCTATCTAGGAGATCGGTGGAACTGGACACTGTGGAATTATCGACAAGTGCCGCTTTTCTTCGAGTAACTCTCCTCAGACCAGCCATGGGGTTTTGGATTCTTCTGGTTAACAAGCTGTGAACTCCACCAGCTTCATTTTCATTAAAAATACCCTCGTCCTCTGACTGTGAAAAGTATTCTAATTGATCGTGTCTACCAAATAGATGCAGATGAGTAATTCCAGATTGAAAACGAACATGACCCATACTGTTACCAGTGTTTCCCGAAACTCTAACGTCTGGTAATAATTGACCCACATTTTTAGGAACGCACATGCCCAATTGGCCAGCTAAACGTTTCTTAACAGAGGATTCTTTCGATGACGAGGACAGTTTCTGATTCCGTCGTTTCCCAGTTTTCCGTTTATACCTTCGTTTTCTAGAAGATACCTTCCACTGCACGGGTACTGCTTCTCCATGATCGTTCAGAATCCACACTGTACGACAGCTCTTCCTTCTACCTGATTTTTTTGTAGATTTTTTTGTTCGACTAGTTCGGGTTCTTGAGCCGCGACTGCCAGACGTTGAAGGCACGTTGGGATCTCGAGGTTGGCTTCTCAAATTAGCCTCTTCACGAGTTCGCTGGCTTCTTCTGATATTTTCTATTTGATTGCGTTCTCGTTCTGTCCGTCTAGTACGTGTCATCCTCCTGTAAGTAAAAAACAGAATGCTTAGTGAAAAAAAATCTATAGTACACTACTGCCTCACCTGCACCATTAGTCCAAAATAAAAACAAATGGTAAAGTAAAGAGTGCTACGTTTACCATAAATTAAAAATGTTTTGTTCTAAAATTGGAATCAATCTATAGAGCTTAATAGTTTTTGAACCATAAGTGCTTGCTCTGTCTCGGAGAATCCTTTCAACACATCGTGCATATTTTGATCAAACTAGTTATAACTTTAACTTTAACCTGAATAGGAGGAAGCGTGTGAATCTTTGTACCTACATTACTAATTGAATTATTTTAATTTTGAATTTGCTCTATAATTTAGTGAATCTGAAGTTAGTATTGCAAATACACTTAAAATACGCACCCTAAAAAACATTACTCATAAAACAGTAAGTTATTTTTAAGTACACTTTTAACAAATACGTCATCTACCATGCATGTTTGACAACATCCTAAATAATTTAACCAATGGATAAGTAGGTACCTAATAAAACTTATATTTTGCATAAACGTGCTAACAACACCTCATCGACCCAGAGTGTTATAAAATTAATGCAAACTTTTCTTTTTGCCCTTTTAAGCATATTTAACTGAAACCACTTTTATAGATAATTGATTGCATAAATTAATTAACCCAAATTATCTTGAATGTGCAGTTGAATCCGGGCAGAGTAGGGCCATATAACGTTATCAAAATACACAAGATGTTCAAATCACAACAAAAAATTATAGCTTTTCTTAGATATCTTGTATAAGTAAAATTGCAAATCATTCTCAATTTATAGCATAATTAAAGGTTTTCTAGCTTTACGCTGCAGTTAATAAATAAACCAATCAATGAAAAATCATATTGAAATTTTAATGTTAATTAAAAATATATATTGTGTAGTGGTTGTAACTAATATGAAAACTTCAGTTTCCTTATCATTTGAAAATCACTAAATATTGGTAAATATTGCATGCAATTTTTTGAAACTTGCGTTCTTGAAAAATATAATAACAATTAACAGATAAATCGGACATAAAAATATTAAACGATTCACTTGGATAGTTTGGATTAGCGGAAGGTGTGCCATTGTCATGGCTTTTTAAATATCATTAATTGTAAGTCTCGAGCATATATCAGTTTAATTAATAACATGTTAAAACACAACAAATTATCTATTATGTATAAAAAAATATTAAAAACAATGCAATCACCTAAATGGTGCTGGTTGCCCTTGTGCTGAAGAACTACCAACGTAATTCGATCCTTCCTCATTAAGCCAAATGCCAACTTCATTCAAATTCATATGTACTCTTTCCAAGGATCTGCATTGACTACAATACCATGAACCTTCAGGAACTTCAGCGAGTGGAGGCTCTAGACAATACAGATGGAATCCGAGATCGCATCCTGAGATTGAAAAAAAAAACATATAACCATAAAAAGTGTGAACAGTTTTAGTGGGATATGAAACGTTAAAACAAGCTTTGCTTTGTCAATATCGAATACGTTCGAAAACCAAGGATTAAAGCTTTGAGATACAGTGTTAAAAATTGTATACTAAATAAACTATGAGATTTTGGTTGAAATCGTCTGACACATTTTAAAACATATGCATCCATTTTTTACAAAACTTGCACACTCCGTAAACAATTTTCTCAACACTTGACAGACACAATATATCATCTGATCTGCTGAGCTGAGCAAAACTTTTAATCAAAAATTCTGAAAATAAAATTCCGTATTTTGAGCGCAGAAATACTTGAATGTAATAAATGGAGAACAGTTGTTTGTCGGAAAGATTTTAGACTTCGAATCAGAAAACAATGAAAATTTAAATTCGTACACAGAAAATTGCAGAGTTGACTCCGGAAAAAATGTTCCTTGATGTTAACCCCGAGAAACCTCTCTGAATAAGCATTAAATTACAATGTATTCTATTAAATGGAATGGAGTTATATAGTGTTTGCCCTTATTCGAAGATTAAAATAATTCATACAAATCCGGTCAATGCGCGAATTGTTCAAGGTTCCTGTTGTGAATTTTTTCATGTATTTTTAGGGTTTGTCTTCGATTGATAACCGTTGAAAAATATAAATAAACAATACATTGAAATTACCGTCACAAAGAAGCATTCGGTCTTCGTCACCACTTGATCCACAAATTTCGCAAAATGTTGGATCTTCAATAATGTTGACAGATTCATCTTGAAGTACAGGTTTCTCAATTGGAATCTTTCTTAGGAATTTACCATTTAAAAACTTGTTAACAGTGATTGAGCTAGAATAGCGTTAATTTATTTATTTAATTCTCTGAAACCATCTAAAAGCTTACTGATATTCTTTTCTGTCAACGGGGCAAGTGTTCATATTTTTCGACCATTCTTGCAGACATTCCAAACAAAAAGTGTGTTCACAGTTCTCTGGTATCCCTACCTGAAATATATGTTCTTTCAGTACGTTTGTGCTAAAATAATAGGAGATTCCTGGTTACCTCTTGCAGTTGGAATGAAAGAAGACAAATTGGACATTTTTCTGAGAGTCCATCACTAGAGTCGGACTCAATAACTTTTTCTTGAGATGGTACCGAAGAGCTTGCGCCTTTTTCCACCAAAGACAATGTCTTGAAATAAAAATATATACATTTTATTGGAGATAAATGACGCCGTACACTATGATTTTTGATTTGCAAATCTATTTGATACATAGGCCTACATTTGCCTACCTCTTCAGAAATATCGCTTTTCCATTCATCGGTCTCATCAGAGTCTGACAATACTAAAGGGTTCCTCACTCTTCTTGGCACAACCAAGTCACTGTCTGATTCACTTACTAGAATTGTCTCGCGTGGTCCCCTTCGCTTTTTAAAGACTGGCCTTAGGTCATCGTCACTTGAAAAGTCAGAATCACTTTCCAACATCTGCAAGAATCACAGGTGAATTAGTAATACAAATTAAATTGGATTTCAGGATTAGTTTTAGTTTTAGGAGTTTAGTTGCGTTGCTACAAAAAGTTTCATGCATCTATTGATATGCATACTAAGTTTAAAATGTTTACCGTCATGTTACTTGCGATCTGCAGAGTGGTCAGCTTCCTGGGATAATTTAATTGGCAAATGTAAACATGCATTATTTCCATCCTGGAACAGAGCTTGAAGAAATGATAGCACTGTTCCAGAATGGAAAGTTCCAAGATCTAGGGGCTTATGTGGGAGCTTCAGTATAAGTAAGAAGAGATGTTGCGAAAACAGGGGAAAACAGGAGAAAACAACAGAGAAAAGTAGCCGAACTCATGTTCAACATTGTTGGAAAACATGTAAATAACTCAGAACATTTGGAAATGCAAGTGGTGAGATCTAATTAGCAATAAAAAGTAGTCATAAGTATTAGGTGAAAATCGTTTAATCAATAAACACTTACCCCAGCTTTTTTTCTTCGAAAAAACATTTTGAACCACTGATGTAGTTCGTCAATTGCAAGCTGTAGCTGTTGCCTGATGCAGTCCTTGCGACATGAGGATGTTAGAAGGGCCGTATCATCTGCAAAGAGTGCCAGGGTCGTATTGGCCATAGAGAAAGTAAAATTTTACTTACTCTATGGTATTGGCAGGTCTTGGGATGTCGCTTGTGTATATGTTGTATAGCAAGGGGGAGAGCACTGCTCCTTGCGATACTCCTGCCTCCGTGCTTCTGGTCTTTTTCTTTCAATCGATCATCATGACTAAATTTACGGTAGCAACACTGTACAACTATTTTTTCTTCCAGTCATCTGACATCATTGTGCAACCTTCGTAGCATCCGTAGAAAATGATGTGACAAACGACAGGTCTATAATTTCCTCCTTTTGCCACAGACTACATACTAGCCACAAAATATCTCCCCTAGGGGGTATGTTCTGTGGGCCCTGCCTTTTACATAGTGAAGCTTTGCGACGTCCGCTTGTTTTTCAAGCAGATCGTGTTTTATTCTAACGAGAAAAAATGGGTCGAATGCACGCTCCTGGGTACGTACATTTACAAGTCGAAGCGAAATCCTTCACATAATCAACTTTTTCCTCTTTATAAAAAGTCCGTAAATAAAATATCTCAAGAAGACCGATTGCAGGTTATATCTCCGCGTGGATACTAGTAACATGTTCATTTCATCACTTGAAATCAATCATATGTGATTTGGGTATTTTTCCTACTTTCAGTAAGGGTATTGCCCAATCAGCCCTCCCATACAGACGTAGTGTCCCAACATGGCTCAAGATAACTTCAGAAGAAGTAAAGGACCATATCATGAAGTTGGGCAAGAAAGGCCTTACCCCTTCTCAAATCGGTAAGGGCTGGAGTTGAACTTAATAAATTGATATGCAAACCATCAGAAGAAAAGTATCGAGGAATTAAGTGACTTCTAATAATTGTTCAGATTAACGACTATTTTAACGTCTGTAATTTAAATTTCTTTATTTTTACTGCAATTTTTTAGCTAAATTGAAAATTTCTTAGGTAAATAATACCTACATTAAAAGTATAACTGTGCACATAAATGGCTTAATTTTTATACATAGGTGTAATACGCATGTGTAAATCCTAAGTCCGTGTAAGAAAATTTGCGATTTAGTTGCCTTAATAAATCTTTGCTCTCCGTTAAAATTCCGTTTTTTCATTTCTGTTAAAGTTAAAATATGTTGCCGATTTAGAATTTTGCAAATCCCATTTTGTGCTTATCTTGAAACATTGTACTGCCTCTGTGAGAAATACGTTGGAACTTTACGTTTTCGTCCGTTTCGTTAGAGCTAGAACGGAGTTCTCTTTGAACATGTTCCAAAATATCCATAACCCAATTACCTAATAACTTCGTGCTGTGTGAAATCCTCACCAATTTGGTTTAACAATCCAGTATCATCCGTTAGTTTTTTGTCGATGTCTTCTAATGTTTCTCTATGCTTCCACGCATAAAATAGGTGTTCTTCATACCAACCATCAACTTGTTCCTCAATAAGTTTACTCCATTACTTTTAATTATTATATAAGTTGGGGTGACACATTTTTCCAAGCCCCAGCCACTTCAATGTTAATTGAACTAACAATCAAATTAACATGTTTCACACTACTTTTTTTTTAAGTCTATCCTCACTTTCGGAAGACATTTTCTATAATGCAACTTAATCGCTTGATGGGTTGCACTAATGGTGTTACATTAGGTGCCGCAAATATTGTAACAATTTGTCATCTGAAGATAAATCTTCTATGTGCCTTGGTGCATTTTCTAAATTTAGGAGAGCCTTTGCATATATATTCAGCTCTGTCATTGTTTTCCATCGGAACCAAATCTGTGTAGAACCAACCATTTAAAAAAAATCTTGGTAATCCATGCTTTCGTTTGGCGTTATGTATTGCGTATGTCATCGGTAACTTTTCATTTTCGAAAAAACGAGGTTTTCCAGATCTACCTATCGCTAACAATTTCATTTTGAGTCAAGTCTCTTGTTAATTTACTCTTCGCTCATTTTTCTACTTGGGGTTGAAGCCTCATGTTGATCAGGTAGTCCCTTTTGAGGGAGTAATTTTCAAAAAAGGCCAGTGATGGCTGCATTATAGATTTGTTGCAGCAACTGCATTTTGCGGACTTTGTTTCGAAGCAGTTCTTTGAATGGCTCTTCAGTTCCCTCGTCACTGGATAATTTTGTCGCCTGTGATGGATAGTTGCCGAATGCCATATCGGATTTTAAATTTATGAAGCCACCGCGAAGCACTCCCTTTAAATTTCTGTTATCGCCGATTATAAACAATTGAGTTTTCCCCCCTAAAATTTTATCGTAGCATTGGAGGTGAAGTATCTGCCTCGACCCGCACTTTTCAGATAAACGATTCTCCATTCTCCACCTAAAAGTTTTAAACTGATATACTAAGTTTGAGTCAATTAAATTTATAAGCCCACCAAAATGCATTCAAATTCAAAAAAATTAAAATGCCGATACATATACCAAGTTTATATTACGTTTGGCGAATTGTTTCGAGAGCGTCCATAAAATATTTGCATTTATGGGGGGAAATATGGAAAAAACCTAAGCAATAAATTTTGAAAACAAATTTTTTTTTTAAAGCACAGTTAATGAAGCCTGATATCTGGCGAAACTATAATACCCTGTATGTATTACACGGAGCTCCGATCTATATTTACAAATTTTCACAACTTTTATTGGTATGAGCAAACGTTGCTTTTAAAAGCGTACTGATGCTTAACTCTTAACTGTAATTTTTCTTTGCAGGTGTAATTTTGAGGGATTCTTACGGAGTGGCTCAAGTCCGTTTTGTAAGCGGAAACAAAATCCTGCGCTTGATGAAAGCTATGGGTTTGGCACCTGACCTGCCAGAAGACCTTTATTACCTCATCAAGAAAGCTGTTGCGATCAGGAAGCATTTGGAAAGAAGCCGAAAGGATAAGGACGGCAAATTCCGCCTAATTTTAGTCGAGTCCCGAATTCATCGATTGGCGAGGTACTACAAAAAAAAGAATGTCCTTGCAGCCAACTGGAAGTATGAGTCTTCGACTGCGTCGGCACTTGTCGCCTAAATAAGATGTCGTAATTTTTTTTCATGTCTTGAAAAAGATTATCACAAAATAAATTTGAGTCAGGTACTCGTGTTCTTTTTTTTCTCGTTGTAATTTATGCTCCTGGTCCCTAGAATGCAAACAATTGAAAAGGCTGCAGTTCTTTCAAAATAAAAAAGCACATTCTTGTGTATTGTATTTTAAACTGTATGCTCACAAATGCTAAAATGTTGAGGTTAAAATAATTTTGTAATCAAACTATATTTTTGCCCTGCTTTTATTTCGCATCTCCTCGACACGTTTTGCGAGCTGTGAACTTTTCTCGTCGGAAACGCTGTCGAAAAAAGCCAAGGCACCATCACAGTCATTGTTGATATCTGAAAGATAATTAAATTGCCCCCTAAATATTGTAAATATTTCATTTTCAAAAGATAATTACCATAAATATCAATTATACTATTATGTATAACATCAATGTCCACGTAACTATGTTTCAACCGACTACTGGCATTGGCTAGGCATTGAAGTGGTTCAAGTTTCCGTTCTTCAGCCCATCTAGCACATCTTTTTTCCAATAATCTGTCAATAGGACGGGTCATATTCTACAAAGTTTCTATGAAATTGCCTGTTTATTGTAACTTTGTGACTGTTCTTACAAGTAAAGCGTTCCTTAACGCGTTTTGCTGTCCATTTTCAGCAAGTGCAGCGATCAATCCCAACTGGGCAGCTGCAGATCCATGCACAGCCTCCGTCGCTTTCAATAGTCTATCTAACACAGCAGAGTTTTGCTCTTTGGAAACTGCTTTTAAAATTTCAAGTTGAAAAGGTGTGCATTTGTATTTTTGGGACAACTCTATGTATCGTTCTACAGCTTTGCCTGTTTGACCACTGAAAATTAGGTAAATACAGTATTATAGACATTTGGTAAGTTTTACTGTAATTTGATGCCATCGAACAGTTAAACAATATTGAAAATATGTTGGGTAAATGACGTTTTTAAAAAAATAGTTTCAAGCGATGTCTTAATATTTTTTTGTATACATAATATAAATGTCGAGTAATTCACCCACGTTTTCAAACAAATTTCTATTAGAGGCCCGAGAGTAACATTACATGCAACACATAAACCATTTTTCATAAGAAGTGCGAACATCTCTTCTACTTGTTCCTCAGTCTTGCAAGCCTTTAGTAATGCCCTGCAATTTCTCTGAATAGCTTGAATATTACCGGCTTGCTTGCTAAAATAATAAAACCAGGCTAACCATAAAACACAATCCCTTAGATTAGATAGACAACTTACGATTTAGAACTTTGTTCGTTGATAATCGACACGCCCTCATTAAATCTGTTATTCTCTACTAAAAGCTTGACTAGATCTATAATTTTATAGTTATCCAATTTAAAGTCAGGATGTGAAAGTTTCAATTCGTCATATAAATTGATGGCTTCATCTAATTGTTCTCCAACGATGTAACTATGCATTATCGCGCTTTTCATTCCGGCAGATTCCGAATATCTAACAATTGATCATATCCATTAGTTCAACATTTTTGAAGATTTATTTAAAATAACCAACCCAGATTGCCGGAAAAGCTCTCTTAGTTCTTTCACTCTTTGAACCTTTCCGTTGCCGGCATGTAGCTGGATCAACTTGCGAAGAACACCTCGGATTTCCATATTTTTTTCACGTAATTCTATTAAATGACATTCCAACTCATCCAAGTTCATGTTTTTCTAAACACAAGCAAAGTAATTCGTGTTACTTGATACATAGGAATTATTTCAGTTCCGTCAGTTCAGAAAATTATTTTGATCTGATGATGGTTTAAAAATCGAAAGGCATAGCAAAAGAAATTATTTATAATAATGTATTATAAAGAATAACTTACCGGGTGAATAATCGAAGAGGAATCTGGGAGATTTAGAGCCAAGTCTACTAGAGAAGCAATAATAGAATCAAACTCTTTTTGTACGGTAGTGGTGATAAATGGTTTGCAGATATCTTGGAGGGTATAGGCTGACTGATTCGTGACCTTAAGCCGCTGCTTTCTTATCAGCTGTAATAATTATTGGTTACACCAGAAGTAAATTACTACCGCTTCGCACACACGTTTTACCTTCATTAAAGCCAGGTAATGCGAAAAATATGCTGTGGTCATCCCAAGTTTTACTATTTGAATTAGAAAGCTTCCAACTAAATCTTGTTCCACTTGATTAGACTCACAATACCTCGCCAACAGTACTAAAACGGACGAGGAGTCTTTGGTAGATGACCAAGATTTTGCCAGCAACCGCAAAAACCCTTCTCGAGATATATTAACATTGTAAAGGCTACCTAAAACATAATATTCAATGTTTCACCAAAACATTTTTCCTGATTAATGCATACATAACTCAGCTGCCATCTTAGTCTCATTCTGTTTTAATAAAACCACCAATAAAGGACTCAATATTTGATGTACAGTAAATCCCACGTTTTCCAATTTTAACAGAAGCAATTTGCAATTCGATAAGTCGCAATTCGGCAGTACATAAAATTCTAGCGTGTCGGCGTCTAGGTTTACGTTAAACTCCTTGATGCGCGTTAATGTGGAAAATATTCCTGAAATTGCAACAATAATTCGGTCTAAGCACCAAGCTTTGTGAAAAACTAAAGTTTATTGGAATGCAACTAAAATTTTAGTAATTATTTAAAGGTAATACAAACATTTACCAATCTCGCCATTAGTTCTACCATTTTCCACAAGAAGCGGCCAAAAATAGTGCGGCCTAACAAAATCCAAATTTTTTAAAAGAGCCCAAGCTTGCTTTTCGTACTTGAACTTTAGGGCCAACTCCGATAAACTCTCCATAATACATGGATTCATCTCTTTTTCTGATATATTTTTCGCTAACGATATAATAGTAGCAATGTCCTACAAAATACTTCATATGACTACTTAGTAAAAGTTGCAACCAGCTGTGGATTGACTTGCACAGCATATCTTTATTATCTATAGAGCGACATACAGGGTGATCCGTCTTATTTTCTTAATTTCAAATGCGAAGTTGCCGCGCTGCTGTATTTAGATATTGTGAAAAGGTACTATTTTTTACAGGGTGTGCGATTTCTCAGATCTTTTTATGAAAAAAGTCTCTAAACAGTCATGGCCGATAATTTCAAATAAGGAAAATGAATGTTTTTATTTTTATCTTGAAAACCCAGCAAAATACGACGATGATTCACGATACAAATAAGTTGTATTTTTGGTTTCTTCATCTAAAGAAATATAACGCACCTCAAATCAGCCGCTCATTACCAAGAACGTTGTAAAATTTAAAAAAAAATTACGAATATATTTGAATGATCTTTTAAGTAAAAATATTATTTCCTGCGTCTTGGAATCGATACATTGCCGGACCTGTTTATCGGAAATTTCTTTGTTACAGAACACGTTAAATCATTCCCTTAAATATATAGGGTGATTCAAAATTGGCGTCATTCCTTTTAAGGGTATATAGGGGCCCACTTAGAAAGTACGAGAAAAATATTCAAAAACTTTTTTCCGAAAATTTCAAGAAGATATTAACAGTTGAAGATCGAATTTCAACTTTGTTATTAACCATTATTTTGAAAAGATCCCACGTTTGATTACGAAAAATTACGATCTATTTTTCAAATTACGAACATTTTTGATATTAAAAAAGTATTCTTCTACAATTTTTTGATGAAAAGTCAAAGCGGCAATGATGTTTTTTCTCATTAACAGATAGTTACAGGTAGCCTTTTTTTTACAAACTTCTTGTTGGATATTTCGCCTCAAAAATTGTTGTCTTTAAGAAAGACATAATTTCCTCACGTCTTTTATTAGATTGATAAATAGTGCTCCTATATATTTATTATTTATTTATCTCCTATTTATCAATCTGTAATAAAAGACGTGAGAAAATTCTGTCAAACATTTTTTGAGCCGAAATACCCAATAAGGAGTTCGTAAAACAATGAATCCGCCTCAACAATATAGAACTTATCTAGACAGCCTTTGTCAAACTGTGGCTTATTTTGAAGCTCCTTATCCTTATATCACTTTATTATCCTTATTTTGTAGTTATTTTTGTATAACCTTTTTGTTTTTTACTTTTGAATGCCTGATATATTTTTTTATAATATTGCGTACATTACATTTTATTTGTTATTACTATTCAATTTGTTGTTACCATTTCGTGTGTGCTTGCGTTTGCCGTTTTTTATATAATTTATTATTATTCGCAATTCATACAATTGAAGCATTGTATCTACGTGAATTCCAATTACATTCCATATCATCTAGTTTTAATAGAGTTCAACTGGAGACACTTAACACAATAATAAATACACTTACATATAATTTCAGTATATTTTACTTACAATCTCAGAGTGAAGCATTTCTTTAAGCAACGACCACCCAAAAGACACATTAGGACGTAGCCCTACAAACTGCGCATAAATATTCATAGCTGCTACAGGTTGATCCATGTGTATCAAATGTATACAAAGTCTCTCAACATCAATTTGAAATGTTCTGCTAATTGGAACATGACTGTAAAAGCCTTTGATCTAGAATATTACAACTGTATTATTAGTCAGGTAAAACAAAAGTTTACTCCACGAACTTCAGCCAGCCACGATTCAAGACCATTAAGTCCCATTTCCTCAATGAAGCTTAGTAGCTGGTCTCCGGTTAATTGAATAGGGTAGATTTCTACTGCCTTTTTAAATTCCATATAATTACCACGCCTAATCAACCCTTTAAATATTGCTAGTTTAACGTCATTATTTTCGAAAATCTGTGCACTTCTCAGCGTGCTCAGTACGGTATGAGCTGACTTCAATCCTCTAAAGTTAACACATTAGCATAAATATCGGCGAAATGAATACAACTTGCCCTTGAATAACATGCCCCAAAACTAGATGTTTTACAATGTCACCATCTAGACCAATATTCTGCTGTTTCATTAACTCCAGAATTTTGAACATATCGCTCATTGCACCGACTTCACTCGCATTTTCAAACAATAATTTATACGTATCCACATCGCTGGACCATTTTCCCAATAGCTCTTCGCATGGAACCAAGTGTTTATTTTCAGTGCAAGTTTTGATGTATCTATTCAACACGTCGATTGTTACTTTATTAACTTGTGTCATGTCTTCGTATAGTTTTTGGCACAGAGCATTTCTCTGATCGCAAGATGAATCTACCACACTTGATCCACATAGTTCCAGCAATAGTTTAGCTTGTTCAGAATTAAGCTTATCTAAAACAAGTTCTGATATTATAGACACTAAGCTAATACTTTAGCATCAATTTCTGAGTTCTGAAAAGGACCTGTGGCTTCAGGATCCTTACTGAACATACAGTGAGATTCTTTATATAATTAACGGAAGTTTTCTTCGTATAATTAAGGGAAATAAGCAATTTCTCACAATTTTTTGGAGTTATAAAACATATTAATAATCGTTCACTAATAATTAATTAAATCTGCAAAAGTTCACCGTTCACAAGTAAGGGACCAACATCATTACTTACCAAATTCAATTGTAGGATAAACATTTATGAGTTGTTTGAGGTAAAACACCTTGCCAGTATTCACGTATTGAATTAAATCTTCAACGTTAAATCTTTTCTTGTCGGATATGCCATTTGGACTGGGATAATTCTTAACCGCCTGACTAAAACACCTATAGTACCTAATATATATCAATATTTCGTTTATTGACTTCTTATAGGAAAATTATAAACGGGTAGATTGCTTATAGGTAAGTAAACGGCTATTTCTTATGGAGAATTGAACAAAATGTATCCCTTTTCTTGCTGAAAATATTTCAGGTGTCTAGGAGGTATTTCCAATATATTTTTAAAGATGTGTTGAGTCTGTGGGAAATTAATGAGATTTGCATTTTTTGCAAAAATAGCTAAACTCAGCAACTTGAATGTTGATACGCGACTTTTCAACATATGGTTGGTGCTGTTGTTTCTCCCGCGTACAAACTGTAATTTTCCTAATTCATCAGCAGTCAGTGGCTGTTTTCCTTTCAATTATTGGAACTCGAAAAGGAAATTCCATGAACCGTGAGCATTTAAGTAAAACAATTCAGTGATAATAAACACAGATTAGTGTTAGTGTTAATAAAAAAACTCTACAAGTTTAGTTTTTGTCTAATATTGGCCACGATCTTGATTGAATGACCTTTATAACATTCTCGAAAACCCTTAGATTTTGTTTATTAAAATACATTAACATCATTATACAGTGTGACTGAAAAAGACGCAGAGGCTAGACAAAGTTGGGAATAAATTCGTTGTAATAAAATGTAAAATTTTAACAAAAAGTGACGATATAATTTTTTGTACATCCTGTATATTTGCATTCTACATCAGCAGAATGAGATTTCAAAATAAGTTGAAATGTCTTTTGCTATCTTATTGAAAAATAGTAAATTTCAATGAGTGAAACGTGGTTGAAAACCGCAATTTGGCCAAAAATACTATTAAGAAAAGTTGTTAATTTAAATATTGTCTAGGTATAAGGTGTTAACTTCGAACACGAGGTCGTAATAAACTAGGAAAATACTAAATTTGCTTCGGTTCGAACTGCTTTTTTGTGGCAAAGTATCTGTAACTTATAAGAAATGTTTTTTTTGCTACGAAAATACGGCCACACATAAATTGTCTATAAAATATAATTTTGCTTTCCTCCATCTTAGACCTTTGCCATGCTCCTAAAGAAAGTATAAAGCAAAATCATTGTCTTCTAATCAATTTTATCACCCATTGATTGTAGTTCAAACCCCCGAATTAGCCAATGGCTTACAAACTCATACTATTCTGTTCAGTAACAATAATAAGGGTCATTAAAATGTATTTTTTGTTTTGAATAGACGCCCACTCCACAATGAAATTCTATTTGTAAAATGTCCTGTTGCGTCGCTACTTCGCTATTTTTGAGCATCATCGGTATGATGGCAGGTTTTAAGAGTGCAAAATAAGATAACGACTTTTTATTCGTTATTTGAACACATGAAGAAACTCCACTAAGTAAAGTCGGTACTAACAAGACATATAAGGTGAACATATTGTTATCTTCGAACACGAGGGCCTGATAAATTATTATTATTAAAAATTACCCTTCGTATATTTTATAGAAATAGCATCGACACATGTTTAATTCCTGATATATAGCCATTGCAAGTTTTAAATTGTGTCAGTTATAATGTATTGAATTTGCCTTAACAAGGGGGCTTTTGTGAAAGACAAGAGGATTTAAGCAATGGCACTGAATAAAAATAAACCAAAACTAAAATATATGCCAAGCTATGCAGCAGAATTTGAATTAAAAATTTTCAATTCGTAAAAATAATTCAAACTTACCTATTTAATCTATGGTAAAGTACTGAAACACTCACTGTGGGACTACGGTAATTTTTAAAGCTATTCGACCGTAAATACTGTACGAAAGCATTATTTATTCTTTGCATTTCGAAATTGTGTTCAAAATATTTTGTATTTACTTTTAACCTTCAATCTTTTTCCAGGTTAGTTTGGAGTGACAGACAGATCATCTAAATGTGGTTTTACCAAAGAGAAATCAAACACATTATTATGACCATAGATTAACTAAGTATAGATAGAGCGATTCATTCATAAACGACCGAATATATTTTGCCCCACCGTTTGAAGATGTGGGCATGGGACGGAAGACGGGAAAGAGTGGGGAGTGTGTAGAGCCGATACCCAAACCACAGACTACATACTATTGACCATAGATAAAGACAAGTATAGATAGCCCACTCTCTCGCACTTTGTTGGACCCGCGCTAACCTGCTGCCATCTATTAACGCAAAGGCACAGCT